TACAAAAACTACTTCGATAAAATGTAAACAAAAGTTTATATTTGTGTACGAAATATGGGTTGCCTGCGCATGGTAGCGAGTTTTTAACCGGATTTATGACAAGTGATAGGTTATATCCCGAAAACGTCAGCGCAGTAAAAGCTGCGCGTCTTTTTCCCGCCCAGGGAGTGTCATGGGCCTGTACCAATCGTTAACACCGAGAATCTGCACTTTGTTATTAGTTATAAGTGAGTGAGACGCACAATTTCTAATTTCAAAACTTTGACAAACCTATTTGATTTTCCTAGATCTGTTCAGGCAGGACCGGTTTTATAAATTTTCTCGTTTTTGAAACGTTATTTTCACATTGAGAATTATATAATATAATTCAATTTACAAGTAAACCATCTGTTCCTGTTGAACAATATGGAGACAATACCTTCATTCAATGTTAAATGTACTATTTAGAAGGATGTGAAATATTTTCAGAAGTTGCGTAGCTCAGTGCTACACTGATTGTCATTAATTAATTAAATTGTTTTGTATTATATTTTATGTTTAGCAGTTTTACTTATGTGTATGTAAGGCCTCATTTTTCCTTCGGAACTGCGCGAGTAGAAACCATTTATCTTTCTCTTAATTTTGATGTTCTTTGTTAACTTTCGCATCTGGGTACTATAGACTTTATATCCTTTAAATTGTTTATAGCTTTGTCTTGTTAAATTGGTTTCTTTATTTTGTTTTATCAGGAACAATTGTAGCTCTTCTTGATGGCCAAGCAGTCCATTGACATTCCACGTTACAATGATTAAGTCTTAACGCCCCATTAATGATGTCTAGATGTTTAGGGGAAGTCAGCTTCGTCTAATCTGCTAATTCTGTCAAGAATCGTATTAAGGACGGGGTATCCCTGTGTATTAAAATTGTATGTGTAGACCAAAAGTTAAATCGACAGTTTTCCGAATATGTAGTGTTTAAAAATCTAATTTTTGGCCAAATTAAAAATAAAGGTCTAACTTAGGTCACCTTACTATTGAAAATTAATAAATTTATTATTTTCAATAAAAACCAATTATGTAAAATAACCCCCTTTTATTTCATCTCAAAGGTGCCGTCTAGAATTATTTTAACCTCGATGTCAAACAAATAATAAAAAAAAAATGTAATACGACTTAAGTTCAACCTTTACTTGGAATTTGGTACACTCAGAATATTTAAATATTGTATATTTTTCAAAACGTGTAGATTTGAAATTTATAAGTCACTTTCTTTGAAAAAACATGTCAAAACGAATTTGGACCAAAAATGGCGTCTAATTTAACTCTAAATAAACCCCGAAAAATCAATAATTACTTCATGTAATGTAATAGAGATGGTGCTCCGATCGATAATATTTTGAATAGTATTTGATTATTTCCGTTTATATTATGTGTGTTTACGGGGGATATACGAGATGATAATACTGCCTCTGATACTGTTTATATGATACAATTGGAAACGACCTTTTTTTATCGGCACTCTTTTTTCTGAACTTTTGACACGCGCCTATTTGTTATATGATGTATGATTATCGGTTATTTATCAACTAAAAGTATAGGAAATTAGTACATTGTGAATGATAATATCATTTTAATGCTATTTTTGAAACTAGTTCAAAAGTTGCATTTAACGATACTCAATGTTTCATTTTACCGTCAGTTTTAGTTTGACCTATCCGTCATTTTATGTTTACAAAGCTCAGTTTCTATTCGAAAGTAAGAGAAACAGTCAAAATAAAATGCGAAAAACACTTTTTATCAATTTCGTTTATGTCAACTGAAAGCGACAATTGCTGAAGACGTAACAAATAAATTGGGTCGAGAAATAAAAAAATCTATACTATAAGTAACATACCATATATTATACCTGTTAAAATAAATCAAAAATAAGAGAACATATCGTTGACGTATATACTTTTCCATCTGTGTTTAGTGATTACCAATTGCAAATTACGTATGAACATGCTTCTGCGCAAAAAAAAACATTATTTCAAGTACTTGTATCATTAAAGTCCATTAAATTATTATTTTTATAAATTTGCTAATCTTTGCACTTTAAGTTTCATTATATGGGGTATCCAGACATTTTAATCCTCGTCCTCTTCTATTTAAAATTATCTCAGGTGCCATATATTCCGAGTAAAATTTTTCTAATTTTTCAACCATATTTAAAAAAAAAATGGGTTGAAAATAATTTTTTTCAACAAATAGTGGATTTTCATCTCCAGTATATACTACAGAGTAGCACAATTTTCTTTGAGCTATACCTAGCTGTCCTTGAATCTAAAAGTATATAAAATCATTATTAGAAAATCAAACATAAAAAGAATATTAATATTGTAGTATCATTTCTAGCACATTTCTTAAAAATCATGAATTATTTTAACATATTGAAATTTTTCACCTGGTAAAAGTAGTTATGGTTTTCTTTTAAATGAATGTCACCATCTTCTATTTTTAAGCATGGAAATGGGTTTGAATATTAGGTAATGTGCGCCAATAATGTCAAATTATGACAATTCGCAGAAAACGTCAACTTTTTATTTAGATTTTAATGTGCAAAAGCCTACCTACTTTGGATATTGATCGTAGAAAAAATATATTCAGAATAATGAAACATTATTATTAAATAACAAGTTTTTTTAATGTCAAATTTAATACGTAATATTATTTTTAATTGCAAATATTTGAATGTTAAAATTATAGCGTTTAATTTTTTTATTCAATGACGAACTCGAGAGTGATAGAAAAAAAATACTACCTACCTTTAATGCAGGAAGTCGATGTCAATTTATCCAAATATAAAACTGATTAAAATGTACAATGAAACTCACTAGGACACTTGGCACAAATAAATGAATTTTCTATTAAAGAAAATAACACTTATTAAAAACAAACAGCATAATAAAACACTTCAGAAACGTGTGATGTAATTTTGAAAACTAAATACCCATAAGCTTGTTTATAAATTTATTGACTCTTAACTCCTTCCCCCAGCCTTCATTAAGTATATTAAAAGTCGTGACGTCATATTGGCACAGATATACGGTAATGTGTTATTGACAATCAGGGAAATGTTTCTAGGTAATAACTACCTAAGATAAGATAAGATAAATGAATGTTAAATACCTACTCATAATATCTATTGTAGGGTTTTTGTACTTTAATAGGATAAATATTTATGCGGGCCTGGAAATTCCAGGAAATGACCGTCAAAATTACCCAAAAACATTAGGTTAGTACCAACATCAGATAACAGATAATTTCGGTATTCAACCAATTAATCACAATTAATATTCTTGAACATTCAAATGACAAAAACTTCCATCTTTTACCAATGAGAATATAGTTTTCATTCGATACTTCAAAATCACAATTTATTAATTAGGTAGAATAGTTTTCAAATATATTGCGAATTGCGACACGTCAAGCGTCCCACTCCGACTCAATGTGACGCAATTATTGTGGCAATATATTTTGAAACGACTCTATATTCGTGACTTGAAATTATAAACATCCCTCGTATTACTACTCGTATATAAACCAAATTATTTGTTTTAGAAAATATTTATATTTAATGTGAGGCAAGATATCGTTTTTGTTGTTACCATCTGCATACCTACCTACCTACCTACCTACCTACCTACCTACCTACCTACCTACCTACCTACCTACCTACCTACCTACCTACCTACCTACCTACATTCTTTACTTTGGTCCAGGAAACAAAGTCGATTTTCGTTAAAAATAAAATGTAATAGGTAGGTAATACTTTATGAATAAAAGTATTGAAATAAAGTATGCTCATACTCCAAAATGAGTCCTAGAGTTAACATTTTTATAATATTATAAATGGCATATAAAACGATTGGACCGTTTTCACAATCGCGAAATATTTTTTTTTATTTGGTAAAATCCCGGCAATTATTGAAAAATAGATTTTATGTTCAGGACTATTATTATGATCCTTCGAACTCAGTCTACTAAAAACCGGTTTATAGTACAATATAATACAATATCCCCTAATAGCTAGTCGGTCGATATTTATAGTTACTTAAAGATTTCTGTAATAATTTGCACTAATTCAATCTCTAGTCGGTAGGTAACAGCACCTCCTTGATTGAATCTAAATTGACATAATTTTGTTCAGAAATTCCTAGGAGACGCTGTCCTTAAAGATAGTCATGATTTGGTTTGTTGAAGATTCGTTTTCAGTTTGATTAGGTTTGTTATTATTAACCACGTTTAATATGTTAAATTTGTGTATTATTAATGATATGACGTCTGGTTTGGGTATTATTTATAAAAAATTATTTCTATTATGGTTAGTTCTGCTTACCTGGTCTCTTCTGTATTATATCTCTTTTGCGACTTCGCATCCTCTATAGATGAGACATTGTTTATGCCTAGTGTTTTCCCAGTTGAAGAATCACATTGGGAATTGCTGTTTTATTTCTGGATTGTCCTTTTTTCACAATCTTCTTGAACAGTTTCAACCTGGAGTTCCTTATCAGCTTTTTAAAACAAATGTAATATTTCCGTAGACCCAAATGGATTATTGACTGTATTGCAATATCCTCTCAATTTTAATTATGTTAACAGTTTTGCAACATTCCTTTTACGTGTCAATTTCTGCACATTTTTCTAAACTTTGCATAATTTTCTTACTTCAATTCCTAATAGATCGTGAAAGTACTTACCGATTTTTCAAAAAATATCTTCGCTCATTTATATTCAACATCGAATCAATTTAGTAAATAACTGCATCCAAAATCGTATAGCACTTTCTTCATCATTGGCATTGCCATTCAATCAGAATTTGAACCATCTATTTAATAAACAAATCTCGTAGGTTCATATTGTCCGATATAAAACAAAAAGAAAGTAAAGGTTTTGTATTTGTCAGTTAGAAACTTGTTAGTGATGGTGTAAGTTTAGTTGGTGTTTTTTTTCGTCAATTGGATTGATTATATGCTTGTTAAAATGGCTTTAAAATTTGTAAGTTTATCAATTTTTATAAGTGTATAGTTTATGCTAGATATAAATTTATCTTTAAAAAAAACTAGGAAAAATTAAAGCATTCTATTTCTACAAATACACGAAGCAGTTTCCACTAAATAGCGCTGGGTGAAATGGCACGGGATATAATAGCATAATGTAGAAATAGCATAAGAAAAAATAGCGCTGGTACAAAAATAAGGGAAGAAGAAGCACGCGGTGACAAAAACACGTAAAGAAAATAGCGACATAGATATATAACCAAGATAGATAGGATTGTTTACAAAATTTCTGAAGCCAACACGGATTTACAATCTAAGCGTCCTTGGCAGAAATGCATTATTCTGATTGAACATTTATGTATTTAGGCCTTTGGTGATATCATCATCTTTGATTTATGAGATATAGACATTATACATTTTTCAATTATTATTAGGATATTAAGATTTATATCAAATGAAATTAGGAGGTTATTCTCTATAATTTTTGCTGAATATTTATAATTTTCTAAGAACAATTTTTGTTAAAAACATAACAGATGAATAAATTGTTCCCTAGATATGGCCGGTGTCCTTCCTTATTTATTTTGGACTGTCAGCACCTACTCTATAGAATTAAGATTGTTTAATATATTATTCTTTTATGAAAATAGTACTTACAGGTGTTGTTATATTTCAATTCATTATTTATTATTTAATTTGGATAATTATTTATAAATTCAATAATAAATAATGAATTGAAATATAACAACACCTGTAAGTACTATTTTCATAAAAGAATAATATATTAAACAATCTTAATTCTATAGAGTAGGTGCTGACAGTCCAAAATAAATAAGGAAGGACGCCGGTCATATCTAGGGAACAATTTATTCATCTGTTATATTTTTAACAAAAATTGTTCTTAGAAAATTATAAATATTCAGCAAAAATTATAGAGAATAACATTACAAGCAAATTGTATTTAAAGAATTTTCTTCTCCAAGTGTAAATAACAGAGATATATATATATATATATATATATATATATATATATATATATATATATATATATATATATATATATATATATATATATATATATATATATATATATACAATAATATATATATTCCATAAAAAATAAAATAGACCTTATAAAGTACATCCCTTCCCCAAGGTACCTTATAGCGAGTCGTTTTTATATTTTATGGAATATATCTGTTATTTATCCTTAGAGAAGAAAATTTTTTAAATAAAAGTTGATTGTATTGTTATTCTCTATATTTTTCTTCAATTTTTTTGCTCTTTCCAAATTTGAAATTTAATTTTTAAAAATTTTATAGGATGGGTCAAATTTTAATAATTTTTGTTAAGCCAGACCTGGATTTTGAAATTTTTTAATGTATCGATAAGTTGTTCTATAGGTGTAGATTATCTATGCCAAATATCAAAAAAATATAATGAGTGAATCAAAAGTTACGGAGCGCGGAAGAAATGGGCCAAATTCAAAAAACACCCTGTAAGTCGGTTATAAAGGTCGCAAGACCCATACTATATGGGTTTTTTTGTGAAAACATTTGCCTTTTGCAATGAAACACCCTGTATATCAAAAATATATTTAATTGTTTTTAAACTGAAAAATCACTTTTTTATAGTAATGTCATACATTTTTTGCAAGTTTGTTTACAACTGATTATATTCAAGAGTACATAAAAAATTAATTCTAGATAGAATTTTTAAAAAATGGTATTCATTGTGTCGCAAAACTTTATATCCTTCCCCTTTTGGTTGAAGTAACGATTTACAAAAATTTACAAATCAATAAAACTAAACAAAAAACAAAACATGATAAAAATATTATAGTAAAAACCTTCCAATTTTGATGTAGAGAAACAATTTTTTTAAAACTTTAAAATTATAGACAATAATATTATAACAACTTTTATTTGAATAAATTTCTTCTCCAAGCGTAAATAACACATATAATTTCATAAAGTAGAAAAACAACCCCCTATAAAATACCCCCCAGATGTTTCGACTATGACCAAAATCTAATCAACTCATCGCACGATGAATTAAAGCTTAAGTTTAAAATTTGTACTTTTCATCTGTATCCGTTCATGAATTATCAAGTACATGTATTGTTTAGCAATGCTTTAAGTTTAAGTATAATTTACTGTCAATTTCATATAATTTTATTTTTTTTTTAGATTCAAATCGTCGCCATTTTAACCATTTACAAGACATTTCTTGTATATGCAGATGTTGAGCCATTAAAATCATCCGATGACTTGGATCCAATAAATGATACCGAAAACACAGAAAATACAGACAAAGAACATGAGAAAAGAACCATTTTCAATCCAACACTCAAAAATGTAGCATGGGCTAGACATGTAGCTGTTAAACCTTCAGGAGCAAAATTTGTCCTTGGATATGGACCAGTTGATTTAAAATACAAGCCTGTTTTAAGACCAATTGCTATCAAACATCAAGGTTACCATTATAATAGACCAAAAATTCATTTTCATTTAAAGCGTCCTATTATTCATGTTCCACACTTCAAACCTGCGCTTCAGACTGAATGGAAACCGATTATTAAACCGGTTGCGGTAGTCAAGCCTGCTCCCTTACCTGCTCCTGTACACGTCCATCCGGGAGCCCATGTAGATCAGTTACATTTGAATCCAGTTCCACATATCGATCATATTCACAAAGAACCCACTGTTCATTTTGATCATCATCATCATCCAGTACAGGTAGCTCACGTTGAACATGTCCATCATATTTCTCCAGCACATTTACATCATCTACAAGTACCACACGTTCATGCAATTCCGCAGGCTCCACTTGTTCCTTCATCGCAGCTGTTTGAGGTTACTAAACCTGATTTGGGTGTCTTACCGTTAGGCGCTACATTTCCAACTACTGCAATAAAAGAAATTCCAGCACCTCAGTTAATTCCTCAACCTCTGCCAAGTCCTATTCATGTACACCCCATAGCACCTATTCCTCACGTACATCAAGCATATCCTGTAACGCATTTACATCCTGTTCATCAAGTTGCTCCTGTTCATCCTGTTGCGCCCGTACAACCAGTTGCACCTGCTATTCAGTTCCAACAATTTGGTTCCATACATCCCGCTCACGTTGGCACGATACCTCATTTCCAATCACCAGGTCATGTTTTTCCACTAAGCCCGTTACCGTTAGAACATGTACATCATGGCGACCATATACATCCTGTAGGACATCTTCACCCAGTAGATCATATTCACCATGGTAATCATATTCATCCCACAGGTCATCTTGATGCCCCCCATGTTCATTCTGTAGGCCATCTTCACCCAGTAGATCATATTCACCATGGCAATCATATTCACCCCACAGGTCATTTTGAAGCACCTCATGTTCATTCTGTAGAACACTTCCACCCCGCTGGCCATTTTCACTCTGTAGCTCAACCACTGCCTGCGCCTTTGCCTCAACCTCATGTCGATTATCAAGAGCACCCTGTTCAATCTTTGTTACCAAATCACTATCATCTTCAGTATCCTCAAATTCCTCATGGAACTCAACACGAAGAGCCTGGAGGAGAACAGCATTTATACCCACATCAACAACATGTTTCTTTGGATGCCCAACACCAACTTCAGTATCCTCAAATTCCTCACGGAACCCAACACGAAGGGCCTGGAGGAGGGCAACAGTTGTATCCACATCAGCAACATGTTCCTCTGGATTCCCAACCCCATCTTCAGTATCCTCAAATTCCTCAACACGAAGGGCCTGGAGGAGGGCAACATTTATATCCACAACAACAACATGTTCCTCTGGATTCCCAACCCCATTTTCAAGACGCTGGACAAAATGTATACCAGCAACAACCTCCTTACCAACAAGACGGTAATATACAAGACCATTACCCCAACCAAGAAGATAATAGATATCAACTAGCTAGTCAAGTTAGTAGTCAACACTTCGTTAGAGAAGGACAATTTCAAATAGGAGATCAAGGTGATAGTCAAGGTTATGTTTATCAGCAACCTTCTGAAGGACGACTGATTCAACCTGGATTAACAGATTTACAGTTTCCTATACAGCTGCCTCACCATCCTGCTTTTGATCAAGATAACAGACCTGAGGCATCCCAACAAAACGAAAATGTTTTTAGGCCTTCTATTCAATTGGAACCTCCTTATAAAAAATAAGACAATTTTTTGTTAAAATTATTGTTGTAAATAATTGTACATAGTTTTTAATAATCATTAAATGTATTTATTGATTTGTTGAGGAAATAAAATATATTTTTATTATTGTTACCTAGAAGTACAGTTGTTTTATTTTTAAGAAGATACAGATCTATATTAAAGCCATTTTTTGATTAAATTCATTAATGAAAATAGGTAAAAGTGGAGAAATAAATTATCTATCTCGATTTTGTTTGGTTTCATGGTATTTTTTTACTGAATTGTAAAGGATAAATGAATTGCAAAATTCTGTCGTCATTTAAATACTGGTAAAAAAATTGTAACACTAATTTACAGTGATACGGTCAAGTAATCATAAAATATAAAGTTTTGTAAGATTCAACGACCTTCAGTATAATTGGAGAATATCTGGATAAACAAACGTATAGAAATTAAAATGAATAGTAAGTTTGATTCACTTAGTTTAAAATTCAGAAAGAAAAGTAGATAGAGGGAAAAGACAGAAATAATTTTAAAACATACAGATTTATTTAATAAATCATTTTATTTGAAGATAACTCTAGTTAAGGTAGTGAGAAGCATCCAAAAATGATAAAGACAAATAATATATATTATATTTTTCGAAGTTGTTACTTGAAAGGTGGTACATTTACAGAATTTTTAATAGTTTTGCAAAAATTCATATTTTTAAAATTATTTGAACTTTAAAGTGGTTATAATTCGTATAAAATTCTTTTAAAAAATTTCTTAACATTTTTATTTTTTCTAAGTCAAGTCTCTGCCTTCGTTTGAGCTTGTAGTACATTTTAACATTGGAAATGTTGATGTCCATACGTTATATGAGTCAAAATTAACAGTTTTTGTACAGTGGTCTCTAGGTCTTGTGACTTATTAAATTTATATCGAGATGCAGGAATGCTGAGAGGGTCTGTCGGCTGACGGATTAAGATGCGTCGTGAGAGATCATTTCTTTGAAAGTTTTTACGTGAGCGTTTCGGTAGTACCTTCGGCTCGCTTATTTTACCTAAGACGTTTGCTGTGGTTCCCTAGGGACAAAATACATATATATTCGGCACTCAGGAAGTCGGTATATTGCTAACGGATTAGAATGCATACTGGGAAGCTCAAAAATATCGAAAAATATATGCAATATTGATAACGTAAACGTAAACTTTTACCCGAGGCTGAAAATAGTGATTCTAGTGAGTTGAGTACGTCCAAAAATCTCTGTTTCACAGATTTTTCTAATTAAATACGCTGATATCACAAAAATGTGTTCAAAAATATGTATTGTATATTTTTTTGTCATCTTGATAAATGAAACCAAAAAGATATCTATTAAAAATAAACTTATTTTAAATATACTTATTTTTCATGTATAATGATTTTTTGGATTTCGATTTGTAATTTCTCAATCTTAAATAACAATTTTTTTTAAAATAAATAATTCACATATCTATAGAATGAATTATAATTCTCTTGTACCTATTTCTAGATAATAGGCAGCTATGTATACATATATGAATTTTCGATCATTAGTTCACTTGTTTACAAATATGTACAGAATTTGAATACATTTTTTATTATTATTATTATTATTATTATTATTTTCTTTATTTTACATATGTTGACCTGACTGGTAGGTAAATAAATAAAATAACAAATTTAATATAAAAATTAACTTTTTATTTACACAATTTTATATCGTACAACATATAAATTAAAACTACATATAAAAGATCACATTTAAATTAAAACTAATGAATCAGCTTTCCATATCCCAAATCCAGACCGTGTCCCAAACCATGTTCCAAACCATAGGGCGCAGAATACGAAATAGGGGCACTATAAGAAATAGGAGCTCCATGTCCAATAGGTGCTCCGTATGAGATAGGGGCGCTGTAAGAAATAGGGGCGCTGTAGGAAATGGGGGAACTGTAGGAAATGGGGGAACTGTAAGAAATAGGAGAACCGTATGATTTGGCTAGAATAGGACCAGAATGGTCAATAGGAGATGACAATATAGGTGATGCATAAGATTTAGTTAAGAGAGGAGCTGAGTATATTGGTGCTGAGTGAGCAATTGCTCCGTAAGATTTGGCGTAAATTGGAGCTGATCTTAAGATAGGAGCCGAATAGATAGGAGCACTGTATGATTTGGTCAAAAGTGGGGCGGAATAAGAGATGGGTTGATGAATAGGTGCTGATATAATTGGTGCTGAATAACTTTTCGTCAATAATGGAGATGAATATTCAAGACCATGTCCGTATTGTCCATAGATCAAGGGTTCTCCTAAGCCTAGTGCTCCTCTTTTTTCTTTCTTCTCTTCCACAGCTGAACATACTGCTACAGAGGCAACGAGAAGAATCTGAAAAATAAAACAAAAATTAGTAATTAAAAATGAAACATGTTTACTATTTATTATGATACCTTCTTGGAATAATAATAATAATAATGAAAAACACATTTTAAATTGCTCACAAATTCATGAATTGAAAAAAAAATAAAATTGTTAGGTGAGAATTTGATTTTTCTATAATAAAAAAAAGTTGTTTAATATGAATTCTTTTTTATCATCAATTGTATCAATTAATCAATCATTTGTAAATATTATTACTTAAAAGCAAGTGATTATTTTTAAATGTTTATTTTTGCAGTGCAAGACAAAATTAATCTAAAATTACACTTTTTAAGAGGAACCATAAAAAAAATGTTAAATAAATAAGGAATTAAAAAAAAAACAAGCTTTTCAAATTTTTATTTTCGTCTGTAAAGGGCCTCCCTCGACTATTTTTTGTGAAAACGGACGTGTACTTTTTGTTCCATTTTCTTTTTTACCCTGCGGTAATTTTTATGCAGCTCTTCAAAAAACCTAGAAGCAATGGATATTTGGATTCAAAATCTCGAAATAAGAACTGTTAAAGTTGATAAAATTAACAAAAACACTAAAAGATATTGATTTTGTTAGGACATGGATTCTAGCGCATCTGAAAACGACAATTTTTGTCACTGCTAACCGAAAAGAAGTTCTAGATATGACCATGTGTTCGAGAGGCACAAATGACCATATCAGGGAGTGGCATGTGTCCGATGAACCATCGTGTTCAGATCACAGACATCCGATTCCATATACAATGTCCAACTCGTATAGCAGACAGGTTTAGAAATCCGAGAGAAACGAATTGGGAAGGGTACATAAAATCCCTCGAGGAGTCTCTCAAGGAGGAAACCACCAATGTACGAGAAACAAAAACACTCGAAAGGACAGTAGACTTGGTAAATAAGGCAATTACTGATGCCTACCAAGAAAACTGTACCGAAAAAAAAATATGCTAAACGAGAAAGACAGCCTGGTGAAATAAACACCTAGATAGCCTGAGAGGCGATGTGCAACTGTCACAATGCCTTAACCAGGTTAATAACCAAGGCTCTAGAACAGAGAAAGGTCCCAGTTACAATATGCCAATGGATCACTGCCTGTCTAGAGAACAGGATCATTTTATCCACTCTAGGAAAGGTAACCATACAAGCAAAAGTTACATGGGGCTGTCCACAAGGAGGAATATTATCCTCCAATGCTGTGGTCAGTTCTTGTGGACGACTTCCTCAAAAAATTGTCCAAAGAAGGCTAGCAGTGTCTAGGATACAAAAAGGAACAATTGTCCATTAACGCACGAAAAACGACAGTTGTACCATTCACAAAAAAACGGGTACTCACAGGATTAAGACCACTAGTACTAAATAACATAGTTACCCAATTCGTCACAGAAGCCAAATATCTCGGAGTCATATTTGACCAAAGGCTGACGTGGAATCAACATTTCAAAAAACTTACATACAAAGCTACAATAGCTCTCGTAAGCTGTAGAAGAATATATGGGAAAAACTGGGGTCTAAACCCCAAAATGACCAAGGGTGATAAGACCCATGATAACCTATGGCGCGGTGGCGTGGGTAACCAAAACTACGCGGGCAAGTGCAATAGGCCAACTCATTGGCATTCAGCGGCTCACCTGTCTAAGTGCTACTGGGGCCATGCGCACTACGCCAACTGCAGCAATGGGGGTATATTTAAATCTCACGCCACTGCACATCTTCATACAAGGAGAAACCAGGTCAGCTATTCACAGGCTAATGCAGGAACAAAACTCAATAAGCCAACTACATATCGCAGTCCACACAAGGCTATATCAGTAAGTAAAAAGGGATAATATTCTAGCTATGCCTACTGATAGAGCCATAATCACAGATAAATTTGAAAGAAATTTTCAAATCCTGGAAACTCGGACCTCCCGTACAGACTGAACTCGTCTGGTACACAGACGGTTCAAAAACCAAGGAAGAAGCCGGTGCTGGAAGCTGTGGACCCAAGTCGAAATACTAAATCAGCACGTATCAGACAAAACTATTGCCATATACTCTGATAGCCAAGCAGCTCTAAAGGCAATTCTCTCGCCATAAATCAAATCACGACTGGTGAAAGACTGTCTAGAAGACCTGGTAAAGCTAAGTAGTCAAAATAAGGTGACCATAGCCTGGGTGCCAGGCTGTGAGGGATATCAGGGCAACGAATTAGCCCCAGAAGGCTCAGATAAGGCCATGACCGGCCTCGAACCCTTCTGTGGAGTTGTTAAGACATTGTGCAAGGCATTTATCAAACAATGGATGCAAAAAGAGTCTCAGGCATAGTGGAACAACTATCTAAGACTGAGACAAGCCAAACAGTTCATCAAGAAACCATCGGCCAAGTTCACGAAAGACCTACTAGATCAAAAGCGTCAAATAGTTAGGATAAAAGTAGGTCTTCTTACCGGACACTGTCACCTTAAAAGGCATTTGAGTGTCAGCAATTTAGCAGAAGAAGCAACTTTGTGCAGGTTCTGTGAAGAAGAAGAATAAACATCATTCCACGTCCTGTGCCAATGTGAAGGCCTGGCTAGAATGAGGTTTCTAACATTGGGGGAAGAAAAGCCAAATGCATGCTACTACATGCAGGAGCCACTGTCAAAGCTACTAAGTCTAATAAAAAAAAGACCAGGCTAGACGACATACTCTAAAACAAACGGAGTCTCACAATAAATCTGAATAGGTCGCGATGGACAAGGACACATAACGTCCAACTCCTAATCTAATTTAATCTAATCCCATTTTACAAATTATTCATATATTTTAACTTCGTGATTTTTGGTAAAATAAAATTTTATTTTTGAATTAAATTTTTATTTAAATTTGTCTTTGATAAAATATTTACGAAACAATCCTTTTGGATTTTAATGAAAACACTATTTGATACACCCATGGATATCACAACTGACAAACGTTCATATATACAGGCTTCAAATAAAGCACAGGTTGTTAAATGGCGCCTGTTACTAATCTATATTTTATTTCGGATTACTGAGGATTACTCCGTTTTAAATTTGCAGGTAAGTAGGCAACACAACATACACATAAGCTTGGCTAACGGTGTCTGTCAAATATTGAACTTAAATTTGAATTAGTAGCACTTTTCGCTATTAATTCCTAAATAGCTATTCAATTCTCACTAGAAACAGTAGATTGTCAGTGACTACGTTTTTTTATTAGGAATTAAATATAAGTAGCTAGTTTCAAGTTTAAAAGAAAGCAAACAGAAACATTTTTGGTAAATATAACGAAATCAAATTAAGTAAAGGTTTTGCAATTTCTTTTTCTCGCAAATACATTGTGTATTCTTAATATTGAAAAATTCAGAATAATTAAGAAATAAATATTTTTTGTATATTGGGAATTTCAATTTTTTCTCTAAACAAAAATAAACAAACAACATTGAAATAACTGATACGATTATAAGGTAGTAATCAAATCCAACCCAGACGTGAAACAGTTTAGTTTTTTCACTATTTCTGAGTATATTGAACACCATAATTATTGACTGTAAAAATTTAATTTTTGGATTATATAAATATTTAATTTCGAAGTTATTAACTATTTTAAATTAGATTATAAATGTATAAACAAGACAGGAAAGCAACACTTATTGATTCTGAGTAAATTGTTTGTTGGAGATGGAGATACCTCAGAACCATTTTTAAATTACGTGCACAAGGTAAAGAAATATTTTATCTGGACGAAACCTGGGTGAATGAATGTTACACAGTTAGTTAGTAAAATGTGGTAGGACACATTCAATCTTCACGACAGGCTTTTTTAGAAGGATCATCAAATAACCAAATAACACGAGGGGTGGAGGATGTTTATTGGGTGTAAGAAAATAACTCTCAGCGTCCTTTAATGACTGAGAACATATTGCAACCTTTCAGGATTTATCCTGCATCGATATAATTTCAGCGAAATTAAAGTTTAAAGGTTTCTATTTATTTATACTTATTATTTATAACCCTCCTCAGGTTACTACTGATAATGTTGAACTCCTATTAGCAGGTATCAAATCATTATTGGCGACTTTAATATTAAAGACTTCGCTTCCTACAACTATTCAGCAGAAGTAAATCCCTCAAGAAAGATTCAATCGTTGATAAACTTCCAAAAATTTACGATCTCAACCAATATAATGAAGTACTGAACAAAAAGAGAAAGCCATCGACGTTCTACTTCCAAGTAACAGTCACCACCCTGCCCTTACTATAGAAATACCTTTTAAACAACAAATATTTATCTCCAATATTCTCCTGTGGTTATAATTTTAAAAAAGCATACTTTCCTCGATTGTATCAAAGTATATTTGAAACTAATTGGTCCTCTCTAAATAATTGTAACAATGTGGATGACAGTGTAAAGCTGTTATATGAAAAAATAAATAACATTTTTGAGTTACATATTCCAAAGAAAAGATCAACCAAATTACACTACCTACAGTGGTATAACGTAGATATCAAAACAAATTAAAATTAAACATAAGCTATGGAAACAATATAAAGCAAAAAAAAAAGATTATAATTACGCTAAATTCGTTATTTGCGGATCTGATATTAAAGAAAAGATCAAAATGGCATACGAAACTTTTTTAAGATCCTCAGAGGAAAACGTAAAATATGATCCCAAATGGTTCTGGTCATTAGTGAATACAAAACATAATAATATGACTTATAATGGCACAAAGCTTAGCATCCCCCAGGATACAGTAAATAGTTTCGTGGACTTTTACACCAATTACACCATTCCAAATCCTATATATATATATATTGAAATTGATCCGAACAATAATAATGTTATTAACATAACCTGTGTTTCCGAGGAAGAGGTATTGAATGAATTAAAAAAGTTAAAACCTAAAATGACGGCTGGAACCGATAAGATACCTGCGTATCTAATCAGAGATTGTGCACAAATTTTAACAAAATCTTTAACAGTGATTTTCAACCTTATTTTAAAAAAATAGTTATTTTCCAAATTGTTGGAAGACCTCCTATATTTATCCAATTTTTAACAATAATGACAAGAACAACATTTCCAACATTGGTACTTTATAAAAGGAGACCTCCTTTTCAAAAGCTTTTTTTACACCTTTATTTATATTTTTTCCTTGTAGTTCTTGGGTTTTTAGGTGTTGGTTGAGGAATGAAAATCGTGTACTGATCAGTGCCTTCTTCAGTAGTTTTTTTTTTTAATATTTGTACATTTTAACAGTCAAAATTGTTCTTTAGTACATTATGGGGAGTGTAATTATAGTTGTTAAATGTTTTAAATACTTTTCCTTTTATATTATGATTATGTAATTGATTTTTAGTATTCGTTGTTGTGAGTCTTTATTCAGGTATTTAGTGTTTAATGTAATAGACTTAATTGAGTGCACACTTTTTCTCTTGTGAATTTTTTTTTAGTGTATGTACATTTAATTTATATCTAAATATATTGTGTGACATTTCTGTATATGTTTTCTAATATTTAAATGTTATTTTCCAAAATTATATAGTTTTTCACCTTATCTTGTAATTGGGGATTACCCTGTTATACAATAAATAAATAAATGATATTTTTGGGGTCTGGACCTTCTTTTAATTTTAGATTTTAGTACCTATGTACTTAATTGAACTTAGAATGTTATTAGTTAATTTCTTCTACAACTGACTGTAATTTTTAAAAATTTAAGTAATTCAACTCCGTTTAAGCCAAAAAATGATTAATTAGAGTTTTACGTTTAATTTTCCATAAAAATTAGTAATTTCGACAAATTAAAAAAATGTTTTTGCTTCTAAAATTCATTATTTACTAATAAATAATAAATAGTTACATTTGCTACAATTCAAAAATTAAAAAAAGCTTTGTATAAATAATAAGTTATAATAAATATGAATCTAACTTCTTTTATAAAGTAATTTGAATACTTCATTTTTGAATATTTTGAATTGGATAATTAATTTTATAAACTAAATTATTTAGTTTTCCAAAAGAGTTTTGTTTACTTGATTCTAAAATGAAGAATTTAATAATTGAAGGGCCTTTTATAAAAAAGTGATAAGCCACACTTTTTAAAATAAAACCATTTTTTTACGTCAATAAAAAATAAGGTCATAAAAGCTTGAAACAAACGAAAATTCTCCAAAAAATCCCATCATTAGCCGAAAAATCAAGTTACTGCACTTTAACAAAGTTATAATAGTTATAGAAGTTTATTTCTAGCTTTGAAGACGTGATTTCTTAATAAATTAATGTTATTCAAACAAGCCCTTCAATTATACTTGATGTAATAAATAAATACTGGTACTTACCAAAAATTTCATTTCGAAAACGTTTAACTATTCAAAAACCAAAAACGGATACGGTTCAATGCACAAGCGGTGTCTTTATGTTGAATTCAAAGGTATTCAAACACTTTATATATAGTTTGGGGAAGGGTAAAGCTTTGGATTTTTTCGTTATGTGTTAATACGAATGAACTAGATCAAGCATCACACGTACGAATTGTTCATATTGTCAATAAACGGCCACTTTTACTTATCTTGAGACATATCGGTTTACAAGGCACCCATCGTGTTCGTTTGATGGATTTCATTACCAAATCGATTATAATGAGAGATATAACTCAAAGAAAGATAATTTATTACAATGATTTTATTTTTTATCTCATTAGCATTTTAATTTTGGACAACTAAAAGGAAAGATAGTAGAAAAGTAGTTATAAGTTACAATGAGTTACAATAATAAATAAGTTACAATAAAGTACAATAATAAAAACCAATTATATATTAACAAACACCTAGGTGAAAACACCTGTATGTGCTGACAACAATTAAAATTTTATTTTAATTATATTTAATGAATTATAAAGGAAATAAAAAAAAACATTTTTTTTTTAATAAAAAATAAAACAATAGAACAATTTTTGCAAGAAACAGAAAAAAAAAACTATTTAAAAATAACCCATGTATTAAGTTCGTTATTCTTGGAATATTCTGATAAACTTTGTATTATTTTGGAAAATGTATATTTTGCAAACTTTACAAAATTTTTTACATTTGTTTAATATTTTATACGAATAGGTAGAGCGTTATAGAACTTTGTCCCTAGATAATTTACACTGTTTTTAAAAAACTCACTATTTGGTTTTGGTACCTTAATGCACATGTTCGATGCAGTTCTAGTGTTATGTCTATGTTCTAAAGTGTTTTTTAAAAATTATTTTTTTTGTATATAACAACACACTGCGTGAATATATAAACATCTAACATTGCTAATTTTTTTATTATATAAAGTTATGGTGGGACACAATTTATCTCTTTTATATATTAACTTCAAGATTTCGTTTTGAATAACATTTAACTGATTTAATGTAGTTCCATACAGGCCTCCCCATACTAAGATTCCATACCGTAGTATAGATTCTACTAGACTGTAGTATAATGTTATTAGTAGATCCTAGTTGAGATATTGTTTTAGAAGATAAAATTTATAAATCAGAAATCTAAGTTTTTTTGCTATATATATTATATAGCAGCCCCATTTTAAGTGCTGGTCTATAATTATACCTAACTATTTGGATGTTTCTGTTTCCTGTATGTCTAAATTTTGACATGTTAAGCTTCTAAATTGAGGTCCATATGTCTTTGAAAAAGCAATATAGTTTGTTTTGTTAACATTCAAAGACAATTTAAAAACATCCAGCCTGTTTTTGACATGTTCCATTCCAGCTATAGCACGTGTCTTGACGGCTTCTTAATCTTTATCACTGAAGACTAGCACTGTATTATCAGCATATGATACAACTTTACCTTGAATATCAATCTGTATAAATTAAATAGTTTAGGTCCCATAACAGTCCCTTGAGGCACTCCGATTTGTATATTTTTAGGGTTACTTACATTTTATCTCTGACCTTTACCTTCTGTTTTCTGTGTGTCAAATAATTTTCAAAAATCTTCAACACGATGCCCCTCGCTCCATTCTGTTCAAGAACATTTAAGGGCTTCTGATGTGACACCGTGTCAAATGCTTTTTCTAGATCTAGAAATATAGCTATACACTTGTTACCAGTATTCATTTCATCAGTAACATATGAAATCAATTCACGCATAGCATCTCCTGAGTTAAGACCCTCAGTAAAGCCATATTGGTGCTTGGGAAGTAAGTCATTAGTTTTTTAAAAATCTGTCAGTCTATCTTTCACACATTTCTCAAATATTTTGGCTACATTACTAATTAAACTAATAGGCTTATAGTTAGTTATTTTTGGATTACCAGCTTTATAAATAGGTGTTATAATTGAAGTTTTAAATTGTTTAGGTACGATTTCTGTATTAAAAATACAATTAATTATATGCATTAAAGGTTCCATTAAATACGGATGTAGTAGTTTCAGATGTTTTACTGTGATCCAATCAAATCCCGAGGCACTATTGTTTTTTAAACTATTTATGTGTTTTATAATATCGTTTTCGCATATCGCTTCCAGAAACATTGATTTTTCAGTGACACTTACAGGAATATCCACATTACATTCTGGGATATTTGTAAACATATTAGTGCCAATAGTCGAAAAGTAGTTCTTGCAGTAATTCGCCTTTTCATTATCATTTTCAAATTCCTCATTATGTTGGTTAACAATCTGTAAATTGATATTATTTTTTTTATGATTTTCAATAGTTGCTTTAGAGATTAATTATTGAAAAGTTTTTTTCAGATCATTTTTGTTTTGGTTTATTTTATTGTTATAATAGTCATTTTTAGTTTTTGATATTAGTTTGTTTAAATTATTTCTAAATGTTTTATAGTGTGTTTAGTATAGTTTTTTTTGTAGATCTTTTTTAAGTTTATCCCTAGTTTTAATAGAATTAATTAAACCATTTGTCATCCATGGCTTTATTTTTTATGGATTTTAATTTTAATATTTTGAGTGGTTTGACATGTTTTAATGATATTAAGAGAAGTGTCATAAAAAAGTTGTGTTGCAATTTCTGGATTATTTTCATTGCAAACTTTCCCAGTTTACAGTTTCGAATTTTTGTTTTAATTTATCAGAATCGATTTTAGTTATAGTTTTATATGTATTGTAGGAACTTGCGTAGTTTTTGGCAGATTGTGAGATATTTATCATAATAGGATCATGATCAATCATATCATAGCTGATTACATAAGAGTTCACCGATATATTTTCAGTCTTAATATTGTTTTTTAAGAATATATGATCCAAGCATGTTTTACTTTGTGGCCTCGTAATAGTGTTTATGTAAGACATGAAACCATTGGAGTAAAAAGTTGCTTGGTAATCAGTAGTTACTTGATTGGTTACATTTAGGAGATCAATATTAATGTCCCCTATGAATATTTCAATATTTCTATTTAGGTGATTTGGTATGAAATTTTCTAAATCCCTTATAAATGCTTGTGCAGAGGTTTGAGGAGACCTGTATCCACCTGTAATGCCAATGGTCCGATGATTGACTTTTAGATTTATTTTAGTGACACAAATATCAGAATATTCCAGTTTAACTATATTTAATTCTGCATTTAGATTTGACCTGACAGTTAATTTTTACTCTCCTGTATACAGTAAGAAAAGTAGATTTAGGATCATGATTTTTTGAGCTCAAATTTTCGTCGAACATTTACGGTTTGGGGTCACCTGAATCCGTATTAATCCATTCTGTGGTGGATTGATTAGATTTTGAGCATAATCTGAGCATCTGGGATTTTGGGGGTACTTTATAGGATGACATTTTTTATTTTACCGTATATCTGTAATTTATGAATATATAAGTAAATTCTTTAAATAAAAAAGTTGTTTGTGATATAATTTTTGTTATGTACATGACTTCCTAAAATGGATGGCAATAAAGTAATTTGAGACAAAATTCAAAATTTAAATTTTTCAGTATTTTCGTTGGCAATGAAGATATGAAAAAATGATTTGAATAATGTTTATCTTATATTCGAAACACTTTTTAAATAAATGGGCCGTATTCAATGTATTTGATAACTTTACAGGAAAGTCATGTATTGAACACATCATATTTTTATTGACTATTGAAATGTTGAAACTGGTAGTATAGCTTATTTTGAGTTTAATAAACATTAGGTATTGTAAGTTTAACAAGCCTTATAGCAACCGAAGGGGAGATTATTATTTTTTACTTAGGCCCTAAAAATTTTACAGTTTCCGAAATATTGACAAAATAGATTTTTAATTTGTATCATAAACACCACGTAACTTCTTTTTTTGTAATTTTGTACAGAGGTAAGTAATTTTTGACAACACCAGAATATATGATATAATGTATAACCAATCTTTTCAAGATACCCTGTATACTAGTTTTTAAATAAAACAACTATTGTCGAGTCTATAACATCATTGAACAAGCTCTTCCATACTTCAAAGATTCTATTAAAAATATTGTCTGTATTTAGTCCCATATCTTTCATTTTTCAATTTAAATTAATCATAGTTCTTTCCGTTATATTTTCTTTAATACATTTTTTTGAAAAAATGCTTATAAATGTTGTTGTCCCCAACTTATTTCCAAAAGTAACGCTTAGAAATATCTGAAAAAAATCGCGAAGACCATTTGTAACTACTGATAGGTCTTTAGCTACTGTTGTTAATATACTATTAAGGGATTAAGGCAGCACTGTCACCCAGCCAAAGGACCCTGAAGTCCAGAAGGAACATTCATTCACCAGTGGCAAATAACAATAATAAAAAAAATAAACTAGAAGATCAAAAATTATCCCTTAATAGCATAGTCGAACGGTTCTTGGCAACTAGTTTTAAACTCTTCTAGTCCTAAAGGAATAGGAACGCCGAGGCATTTAAAATTATACACGCAGTTTTAGATCAAAAAATGTATCAGTAAAACGTATTGTTGACCATCTTCCATATTATTTAGATACGGTTTGTATTAAAAAATATTTGACCTAGGTACATAGTTATTTTACGGATATTATGAACAAATTATTATATTTAAATTTTCTTAATATTTCATTTGAAGGTCACAAAATGAGTCGAACAGAAAAAATTAATAAAATGCTGTTTAATTATTACAACATATCCGTTATAGGTATAGCTAATTGCATGAAATATCAAATTTAGGTCATTTAATTACTTCGTTTACAAGTACATGCACAATTCTTGCAAAAAATAATCCACCATCAATGTCACTTTTTATGCCATTTTTGTTTATGACAATTTCTACATTGTGTTTTAAGAAAGCCGTTTATCGCTTTATGTTTTTAATAAAGTGAATGTGTACATTGATGTCTTTTACATTTCGTTTTTGGATAGATAGGAATTTTGTGGTTTCGTGATAAAAGGTTTAATAAAG